GGCCTGGTCTCGTCGTGTGATGTGATGTCGAGCAACCACCAACCACCACCCTTCAAGCCAGCATCCTCTGCGAGTATACACCCTCATTCTCGTTAGACTGGCATATGTTATACTGACAGGGACACTTAGTGTAGCCGCAGCGGACCAAAGAAGGTCCTATCACATGCGTTATACTGACAGTTTGACCCAGGGCGTTGAGTCAAGGTTCTATACGTTCTAAAATGGTACTGCTTTTTTCTAAACGGTTAAGTCAGTTATTCAGCGTTAACGGAATTTTACGGCCCAAGTCTGGTTTCGTCGCCTCGTGCGACTTGGCCCGCAACCGAGTTATCTCACCAGCCCGCTACGTCCAAACACTGTAGCCACTGCTTCCGCCGGTGAGAAGACTGAGAATAAGGGTGTACACCTGCCCTTCACCGCATTGTTCCATAGAACCGTACAGCACCACAATCGACAATCTTCCAATCAATGCTGCCTCCTCAATTGCGCAGGTCTCTTGCCACGCCGCTGCTGTCCTGCCCGTGCTGTTAATTGCTCTTGGCTGTATATCTAGTTTTATGCATACCCTGCGAAATAGGTGAGCTCTAGCCAATGCTCCTCCTGTTTTACGGGGACAATAAAATCATACATATTGCTTCCAAGCTTGAATTCTCACAATATTACAGTGTGGAAATGTATTTCGAAAAGGTCAACGTGGTGGTTCGATAGGCATGCTGCCTCGCCCTCGTAATTGGGCAGGTGAAAAATGCCGCGCCTTGTCCCTGCTGTAAACACTTGTTTTCTTGTGGTGTCGTCACGTCACACCATGCTCCACGACGGCGCCAAGGTCAATCGTGCAAGAAGACTTGACATTGTCTCTTTGTCCGACTCAGCATTGTCTCGGGCGGGCGAGAGGGGCACGGACAAAGGTGTGAGTTGACAAATTGCACTTCTTAATACACCTGCTCTGCGTTATTTTCACACTCTGAAAATTGCGCACGCGGCTTTGTCTGTTCTGGGGGGTGTGAAGTTAGGTGTAAGAAAACTGTTCCGACTAATTTCACGCGCGCTGAGTCAGCGCGCGTGGAAAGTGAAATCCGAAAGTTGACTCAGCAGCTTTGACTTTGTTGAACATTCCTTGTGTGTAGGAGACACCTCCGAAAATGCAAAACTCAAAGAGAAACAAATTCTTTAACTGGAAAAATGCAAGTACACCTGAACGTAAATGAAGGCCTACAAACAAAAACAGAAATTCGGAACATGATACAATGCTCCTTCCTTGCACACGTTAAAAGGCAATGGTACAAGGAGCACTATGTGTTCAGCCCAGCATACGCGAACGCCATGTTGTCTTCTGAAAGCAGGTCCCTAAAACTGTAGGTACCTGCGGCGCGATCAACCGCGGGACGAACATACCTCGCCATAGAGGAATCCGATGCGAACTCATGCAAGGCCGTCATTGCCGCTGCTGCATCTGCAGCATCCATGCCTGCCTCAGAGGGGGGCGCGTCATTCAGATCGAATGGGACGCCGCGGTTTCCGGGTTGGGCAGTCCACCAACTCCTACCAACCCACTCCGTGTCGTTTGCAACGCGTGTAGAAGTGGCGACGTGGTCGTCACAACCAACGAACGCCCGAGCGGTCATTAAAGGATCGTCAATCTTCAGTTTTTTCATTAACACACCTAGAGCTGTGATGTCAGCCGTCTCAGGATCCTTAGAAGGTCCTTGAAATAACCGTTCCAACCCCCACTCCTCCAACCAAGTGTACGGCACCACACCGGACCGACGCCAACACCTCCTTAATGCAGCCTTCTCGACACGAGTTAGAGCTGCATTTTTTTTAGGCTTAGGCATTCTGTTATGCTGGGAAGGCTGTTAGGAGGTGGAAAAAACGCTGGCGAGAAATGTGGCAGTCTCTGGTGTCGAATGAGTTTGTTCTGAATTTTGAGTCTGCAAGCGATTCGATTTCGAGAGATGGTGAAGCTGGGTTGGACATTCTAATTTGTACACGTCAGGTTCATGTGTACTTGATTCAAGGAAGAATGCGTGCATTTTTTTGTGTGGTCGCGTTTTTGGCGCTGTGATTTTCGCCAATGCGAATTGAACACGTGAGAAATTTGAAACATCCGCAATCGGAGGATTGCGGATGCGAATTTCTGGATTGTGCCTGGAAAAGCGATTTCGCGCCTAGGTCAAACATGAAATGACCCCTTGCTGACTCAGCCGCGCGTGCACCCCCTTGGTCACTTTTCTGCCGCCCCTGGTCAGATTGCCCCAGAAAAGGACAAAGGGGGTGAAGATAGGGGGTGTGAAATTATCGCGGAACAGGTGTACAAAAAAAACTCGATATTGGAGAAGTGCCGAAACTAAAACTTCAGTTAAACCAGCTCAAGGGTCTTAGCTTTCAGAATGCTTTCTAGAATATCATGCCTACGATGAATGGAGTTACCCGAGCAAGCAGCTACCAGCCTTGGAGTCTATTCTTCACTCGAGGTCATGAGGAGCTTTCTCTCTCATCCCTCTTTCTTGCCTCCGTAAATATCCTCTGCGCGGCATCCGTCGTCCCTTTCCCGGTACACCCGCACTTCAACCATCTTGCGGAAGCTAACTCTCCTGGGACTGGGAGGAACAACGGCCAGCGGCCCAGCTGCTGCTGCTGCTGATGCTACTGTTGCTGCTGCTGCTGCTGATGCTAATGTTGCTGCTGCTGCTGTTACTGCTGCTGGTGCGGCTGCTACTGGTGGTGCTGGTCTCGCTGCTTCTGGCGCTGCTGCTTCTGGTGCTACTAGTACCACTACTGTTCCTGCTGCTGCTGCTGCTGCTGGAGCTGGTAGTGTTGCTGATTCTCCTGTTGCCCCTGTCGCCCCTATCGCAGCAGCAGCAGCAGCAGCAGCAGCAGACTTAAAGCCATTTTCTGGGGTCAGTGGGACAGAATCACTGAAGCTCACTCTCCTGGGAATTGGGGACGGCTTTCGAGGCGCGTCAGAAACCGGTGTCACAGTCACTCCCATGGGCTTGCTGAAGCTGACTCTCCTCGGGATTGGTGACGTGTGGTGGTGAGGAGTGTGGTGAGGTGTAATGTGGTCAGGAGGTGTGTGGTGAGGTGTAATGTGGTCAGGAGGCGTGTGGTGAGGTGTACTGTGGTGAGGAGGAATGCGCTCTATCTGCATCATCTCCTGAGTGCTCCCTGTGGGGTTGTGGGAACTTGCATGCAGTTGGGTGTGTGGGGCTGTGTGGGGAACTGTGTATGGGGGCGTGTGGGGTGCTGTGTGAGAAACTGAGTGGGATGCAGTATGGTGAGGTGCGTTATTGTGGGGTGCGTTATGGTGAGGTGAGTTAGACCCAGTTGCATGGTGGTGAGTAAGTTCAGTGCCAGTAGGCATATCAGGGAAAGTGACTCGGCGCGGACTGGCGGGGATGGCTGCATGAGAAGCTGTGTGGGATGCATTGCAGTGCGGTGGACTGCGGTGAGAAGCAGTGCTGTGTGGGTTTTCGCTCCCAGTGGGCATATGAGGGAAAGTGACCCGGCGCGGACTGGCAGGGATTGCGCCTGACAGAAAAACACCACCACCACCAGCACTCCCAGCATTACTGCCTGCTCCACTCCCACTGTCTATGCCACTGCTTCTGCTGCTCTTTCTGCTGCTGTTTTTGCTGCTGCTTTTGCTGCTGTTTCCGTTGCTGCTGCTCCCACCACCGCTGCTACTGTAACCACTACTGCTGCTGCTGTGGTTGCTGTGGTTGCTGCTGCAAATACTGCTCGTATCTGTGTCGCTTGAACTTGAACCGGGAATAGCAGGAGGAGCAGCAGAAGAGGAAGAGTAGGAAAAAGTTGTGACAGAAGCGGCAGCAGAAGCTGCAGCAGAATCTGCGGCAGCAGAGTCAACATTAGCTGCAGCAGCTGCGGAAGCAGAAGAAGAGGGCGGGCTCGTTGCTTTGAGTGCACTCCTCATCAGACTCACTGCCACTGCTCTAGAGGCAGCAACAGCAGGGCCAGAAGCAGCGGGAGAACCAGCACCAGCAGCACTACCAGCACTAGAACCAGCACCAGCAGCACCAGCAGCACTACCAGCACCACCAGCACCACCACCAACAGCAGCAGCGGCAACAGCAGCACCACCAGCAGAAGCACCACCAGAAACAGCAGCAGCAACGCCAGCAGCAGTAGCCCTCCCAGCCACACGAACCCTCCCCCAAGCAGCACCCCCACGCTGCTGCAACCGCAGCTTCTCCTCCTCTCTCGCCTTCTCCTCGTCTCGCTCCTCCTCCTCATTCCGAACCAGAGTCACCACCTCTACAAGTTTGTCAAAGCTGACACGCTTTGGGCTCGGGGATTTGGTTTGGTTTGCACCGAAGCTGACACTCCTTGGGCTCGGAGACCTGTTGGCGTTCACATCAAAGCTCACTCGGCTCGGGCTGGGTGATTTGTGACTCGATTCAAAGTTTACACTCTTTGGGCTGGGTGACTTCTGAGTTGCGTCGAAGCTAACACGCCTTGGGCTCGGAGATTTGTTCAAATACGCATCAAAGCTCACCCGTCGTGGGCTTGGTGATTTGAGCTGTGCATCAAAAGTCACTCGCCTTGGGCTAGGCTGGTGGTTTGCCGCGTGTGATCGTGACACTGGTACCGAACCTGCTGCCGAGCCTGATGCCGACGCAAAAGATGATGCCAAATCTTCAGCTACACACACAGCCTCCTCCTGCTGCTGCTGCTGCTGCTGCTGCTGCTGCTGCGGGTCCTGCTGCTGCTGCTGCTGCTGCTGCTGCTGCTGCGGGTGTGGGTGCGGCTGTTGCTGCTGCTGCTGCTGCTGCCAGTCGAAGCTGACTCGTCGAGGGCTTGCCGACGCTGCATTTTTTCTGATACCATGTGCTGCTGATCTCCCTCCTCCTTCCTGCTGTCTCTGCTGCTGCTTCTGCCGATCCATTGATGGCTGCTGCTCCGACAGTCCCTTCGGCTGCTCTGTTGAAGCTTGCTGCTGTTTGGTTGACAAACCTCCACCTCTTGCCTCGGCAAAAGCTTCAGGAACGGCGAACCGAACCACAGGAGAGGTGGTGCGGGGAGGCCGGGCAGCCAGGCTTGGGCTCGGCAAACGAGCCTGCAGCACAGGCCCGGAAGCTCCAGGGCTGGGAAGGGAAGCGCGAGGAGAAGGTTTGGCAGGAGAAGGGAGGGTTCTAGGGCTGGGAGCAGAAGGTGCGTGGGGATGGGATGGTGTGGGCACCAGGATAGGTGCAGGGGCGTTTCGGCGAAATGAAGCCCTTGAAGTTGCCTCTCCTGCTGCTGCTGACACTGCTGCTGTTCCTCTTCTTCCTTGTCCTACCCCTTCTTCTCCTCCTCCTGCTGCTGCTGCTGCTGCTGCTGCTGCTGCTGCTGCTGCTGCTGCTGCTGCTGCTGCTGCTGCTGCTGCTGCTGCTGCTGCTGCTGCTGCTGCTGCTGCTGCTGCTGCTGCTGCTGCTGCTGCTGCTGCTGCTGCTGCTGCTGCTGCTGCTGCTGCTCCTCCTCCTCCTGCTGCTCCGGATATCACTGCAGCTGCTGCTTGCAGTGCATCTATCGCCCCTCCACCTGCACTCACCACCGCCGAAGCTGCTGCCACCGCTGCCGCCTCTTCCGAATCCTGAGGCGCCTGGAAACCCCCCTCCGGATGTGCTGACGTGGGCACTGCTGACGTGGACAATGGTGACGTGCTCGTTGGGTTTGACGAATCCGAAAAGGAAGGGGAGGGGAAAGGAGGGGAGATGGGGGAAGGGGATGAAGGAGGGAGAGAGAGTGCAGGGGACGGGGGGGAGTGTACGGAAGTGTAAGGGGAGCAGAGAGAAGACGATTGGGGGAGGAGGGGAGGGGAGGAGGAGGAACAAGGAGAAGGGGGAGGGAGGAGGAGGTTGGGAGATGAAGCGGAGCGTCTGAAGAAGTTCCTGGAAGTTTCCCCTGTAGCAGTTGCACCAGCAGCGGCAGCAACAGCAGGGGTATAAAGAAGCAAATCAGGGGAAAACTGGGGGCTGAAAAAACCTGTAGGGGGTAAACCGCCTGTAAGGGGTATGGGCGGGCGATGAAGGTGCTTTGAGGTGGTTGAATGCGGTTGTGAGAGATTGGGCGTGGTTGGGTAGGCGGGAGGAGTGTGAGACATAGTCCTGTGGTGATGCCGACTTTTGTCCTTCCAGGCCCTTGTTGCTACTCCTGCAGCTCCTGCTGCTGCTGCTGCTGCTGCTGCTCCTCCTCCTCCTCCGCCTCCTCCTCCTCCTCCTTCTCCTGCTGCTGCACCTGCTGCTGCTATTCCTGCTCCTCCTCCTGTTGTTCCTGCTGCTCCTGCTGCTGCTGCTCCCACCCCTGCTGCTCCTGCTCCAGCAGCAGCAACACCCTTCCCTGTCTTGCTGATACCAGCCCAATCCACAAACCCTAATCTCGCCCCCCCTGCACTGGAACCCAGTCGCACGACAGCAGCGGCTGCACCTCCTCCTGTCCTGGGAGAGGTCATACCTGTCCTGGGGGAGGTGAAACCTGTCCTGGGGGAGGTCATACCTGTCCTGGGGGAGGTCATACTTGTCCTGGGAGAGGTCATACCTGTCCTGGGGGAGGTCATACCTGTCCTGGGGGAGGTCATACCCGCTTTGGGGGAAATGATTCCTGTCCTGGGGGAGGTGAAACTCATTCTTGGGGAGGTCAGATGTGGCTTTGGGGCGGCTATACCAGGGGAGGTGGTATCTCTGGGAGAAAAGCCTTCAAAAGCAGAAGAGTTCGTACTTCCGTTAGGAGAAACATCTACTGGGGAAGTGGAGATTGTAAGGGAAACGGGGCTGCTTTTATTGAGGGTAAATGGGTTTGAGTTGTTCTGATTGGAGAAGGGCAGTCTTGGCGAAAGGGGGGCAATCCTGGGGGAGGGAAGGGAATTTCCGGCTGGGCTGCTGCAGGTAGAACTAGCAGAAGGGGAATTACCCCCTGCGGAAGTTGCAAAAAAAAAGGGTGAATTACCCTTGAGACTTGAAGTGACCAGATTCTGAATTTGCAACTCCTGCCGAACCGCCTGCTGCGCTGGCTTGGTTCCCCGCGGGGATGCCTGCGGAACTTTCTGCGCGACCCCTCCCCCTTGCACCAGCACCGTAGCCTGCGCCTGCACCTGCACCTGCGCAACCCCTTCCCCACCCCCGCGCACCGAGTCCGCGGATTGCGTTCGCGGAACCGTTTTGCGCCGCACGGTCGGCGGAGGGCCCGCAATCCCCGGTCGACGCGGCGACGTAAGAACGCCACTGGCGCCGCTTGCGCCGCCGGTAGTAGTCGCTACGGAGGCGGCTCGCGGAAGTTGTTTGCTGGTTGAAATTGAAGAAGAAGCGGTGGGCAGGAGCACAAGCGACAGCGCGGATGAAGGCGACGTTGGCGGCGAGCGCCGCCGCGGCGCAGATGGGGGCTTGGGCGCGGCGGGCTCATCCGGTTGCGCCTTTTGCGCGCTCGTGGTTTGCGCGCCCGTCGTGACCAGCTGGTCCGTCGGAACATGCGCGCCCGTGACTTGCGCGGTCAACGGAACTTGTGCGCTCGTGACTTCCGCTACAGCCGTGAGGTGTGCGCTCGCGAATCCGACACGCGAGCTCGGAAGGTGCGTGCTCACGACCGTACTTAACGAGCAGCAGCGGCGATGCGTCGCGGCGCCTTTCACCGAGCCTCGACGGCCGTCGCCGGTAGCGGATCTGCCGTTACCGCCGCCAATCCCGCCACCACCTCCACTGCCTTCGTCGCCGCGAGAATTAGGAGCTGTGGGGGCTGCGACAACCTCTGGGACGGCTGCTGCGGCGGTACTCGCGCGGGTGATGCCGACGCGACTGAACCGCCGCGGGCCAGAAGCACCGCCGATATTGACTTCAATATCAGCAGCAGTTGCGGAATCATTTGTCGCAACACCCGGTGATGCGCGGTTTAGGCTTCCAACCGCCACGCCTGCCGCGCCCGCCGCTCCCCCCGCGCCGGCCGTTACCAGGGACCTATGGAACTGATTCCAGTCGAAGCGCGCCGACCAGAGTGCCGCCTCCTGCGTCGCCGACAGTTTTGGGCTTCCGCCGTTGGAAGAGGAGAGGGGGGGAGGCGCGGGAAAGGAGAGAGGGGCAGGCGCAGGAGACGAGAGGGGGAGAGGCGCGGGGGAGAGGGTCGGCGCGCGGAGAAAAAACGCGGAAGAATTGTCTTCGCAACCGGCAAGGGCGGAGTTGGATCTGATGTGCGGGAGGATGGCGCGGGGAACTGACGTGTGCGGCGATGTTTGGATTAACTCCTGTTGCTCCGCCTGCTCCTGCTGCTTCTGCTGCTTCTGCTGCCTCACCTGCTCCCTCTGCTGCTTCTGCTGCTTCTGCTGCGCGAATTCCGTTTCCTCCCTTTCAGCACCGTCAGCGGAAACGTCACTCGGCGCGTGTCCGACGAGCGAGCTTGCCTCCGGTACTTGTCGATGCGCCATGTACGGCGGCGGCGGGGCGTGCGCGGCGGAGAAAGAGTGGCGCCGCTGATCACGTGGTGGCGTGGTCTGCTGCAGTTGGCAGTTCTGGTGTTGCGGGGTGTGCTGCTCTTGCGGGGTGTGCGGGTGTTGCGGGGTGTGCAGGAGTGGTGGGGAGCGGGGGGGGTCCGCCTGGAGACCAGCTGAAGGTGACGAGGCTCGACTGCTACAATTACGGCGGTTATGTCGCAAAGTTGATTCCTGGTTTGCACGACTTTGAGTCGTGGGTAGGCGAGCCGCGGAAACGGCAGCGGCCATGGGGGAGAGGATTGCCTCTCCTTGACGTGCTACGCGCCGAGCTACTGAGATTCTCTTTTCGGAGGGAGGTCGCAGAATACGAGTCAGGTGCAGAACAATTGCACGATTACCCGGAGCGGCGATGACTAGCAGCAGGAGCAGCAGCAGAAAGTACCTTCAATAGGTATTGGTGGTATCGACGCGGCGAGGTATTCCACTTGAGACACATGTCCTGCTGAACCGAACAGCTAAAGCGGTCTTTGGAGCGGGAAGTAAACGGAGTAGTAGAGACCAAGCGGCCCCTACAACCAGAAACCGTGTCGAGGTTAAATGTCTTATGGGAGACATGTACGAGGGTCGAAAAAGCATCAGATACAGCAGCTTTTAGAAAAAGGTGCGTTGCGCGGCGTGGCGATTGCTGATTCCGTTGCGTAGACTGGTCCGACCAATCAGGCCTAAGTGTGAGGCCCAATGATGATGAGATTGGTTCATGAAAAACGGAAAGAGGCTCTTTAGGGCGAATCAACCGGCGGAAGGAAACTCGATCGTAGAGGCCATGGTGCAGCCATAGGCTTGCCGCTTACAAATAGTTGTCTCAGCGAGTGAATTGGTGTTTTTGACTGTGAGGATGGTCGGGAGAAAAGCGGCGGTAGGGCGGTTTCGAAGACGTGTTCGCGAGTGAGTGCGCGAAAAGCACAAGTGCTGATACAGTATAGCCAACGCAACAGCAAAATTTGACAGACGAGAATTCTACTGGCCAGCACAATGCGAGCCTGTTTGCCCTCGACAGGTGTTACTGCAGGATAACATCCAGTGAAGTTCAACATCGCAAAGTGGATTTCTCTGGTGTCACACGGTTTACTACGTTTGGTAACGATTTGAAGAGATTTGAAGAGAGCTTCCCTTGAACGCAAGTTTGCCGCACCAGATTGGAGGTGCCACTGCTGAGCTGTAGTTGGCGTTGCGTTGGCCCAGGGCAGGGCTGCGACACCAAAGCACACAACTCTATCCGCGCTGCGATGCGCTGGTTTGTGTTTTGCTCGGCTGGGTTGGCTGCCTTGGGCTGGACCGCAAAACTGAAACACGAGCACAGCTATGGGACGAGAGGGGTGCAGGTGGAATGGAAAGGGGGGTTTTGGGCGGAGAAGTGCAGATTTTGTTTTCCAGCTGGCGGACAACAGTTGGGGCTGGCACACTTGTGAATCTCTGGGATATAAATGTCGTTAAAGGCGAGGTGCAACTTCTTAGGAACAGTAGCAAGACAAACATGGAGTGCGCGTAACGAGACCCTTATTGGATGAAAAAACGGAATCTCGGAAAAGACAAACTTCTCGCCACAGAACTGCCTGGGACAACCAAGTTCCAACTTCCAAGCTATAATACTTCGAAGTTGAAGCTGATAGTTGGGCCACGGCTTTAACGACATTTGACACCACAACATAAGGGAGAATGGAAAACTCGCCGCAGCAAACTTAACTTTTGCGTCCTTCTAGCCCTAAGGGCGTGTTAAGTCGCAAACTCCAAAAAATCGGCCACCAACCGTCGGGCCGTATCTGCGAAGGTACCAGCTTGCGACACTCGTAAGTCAAGTGGAGAACGTCGCAAATTTCGTTAAAATTTTACGAATTTGATGGCCTTGTAAAAAGTTGACACGAAAACGACGCCGAGTCGACTCCAAAACGGCCAAGTATTCGACACAGTGTGCGACAAACGCCTGCGACGTCGCACGGCATCGCCCAACGACGGAATTTGTGATCGCGTCAAATGAGAAATATCGCCGTCAATAGTGCGACCCCGTCGCACTACTAAACTACTGTAGTAACTGCAAATTTAACAACTTTTCCGAACCAGCCTGCAATCCGGCCACCAAAGTTGTTAAAATTGCCAAAACTGTAAAATTTTGCTGTTAAAGAGTCGACTCTGATTCGGCCACCTCGTCGTTGTTCGCGAAAAATAATACGACCATCTGGTCGTCAAAAAATCGGCCACACCCTATTCGGAATTGTGTGGCCACTTAACACGCCCTAAGCGGTGGTCACATTTCAGCCACCTTGTGGGTTCGAGGGGTTATTGCGAGATCATATACAGTACTGTGTTGCTGTGTTCTCCCAGCAAGTACAATTGATGCCCAACCAGTGCATGCGGATTTGCCTTGCGCCGGATGGAAACGCTGCACCCAAGGTTGTCTCCCCAGTCTGTTGCTCCCACGTTATAAGCGCGTCGCGTGGTTATCAACCAATAGTAACGAACAGACCGAGGTCAAGCAGAAGAGACTGAAGTCAAATAAGGTAATAGATCTTGCTTATAAGCACCTGCGAGTCCTTTTTAGCTAGCTGCGAATTGACGCAACTTATGCGAAACGCTTGCTACAGATTATACACCCCCTTCACAAGGCAACCGGGAGGGACTCAAGCAGGCATCAATTGTACTGACCCGAAGATCAACACAGCAGCAACCCAGCCCAGAATTCCACCAGAAAGCCTTGACCCTGTCGGGCAACCCATTGCATTGTGTACAGCTGTCATGGCAAGGCCCAAAACACACCAACTTTCAACATGTCTCGTACAGTTATGCAAATATCAATGTTGCATTGATATCCACATCGATCGAATCGAGGATACTCACACAAAAAGAACAAAACCCACATCAGAGCGGATGCACTTTCGGTTGTACGAGCCAGGCCAACAAGCTACCGTACAGTTTCTTGGCCCACTTGCACTCTCGTCGGGCCCCACAACACTGTACGGGAGCTGGGATCCATTCCCCGTACATTTAACGAGATTATATGTACATATCTACGTTACGTGTACATCCTTTTGCTAAACAGAAGTTCCACGAAATTTATGACTGGGGCTCTTCAATTGTGAAAGTAGTCATACCTGTCATACCGGTAGCATGGACATTGTTAAATGGTGATGCTTCCTCGATTCAGGATGCAACCAACACTTTTGGACCCACAACCCGCAATTTAGCATAGGTACAGCAGGTGTAAGTAGGGGAGGGGGAAAAAAGGAAAACATATACAATATGCTGCAATACAGTACATTACAGTTCATTGCTTGCAACATGTTTGATAGTAACTAGATTGCTACAGGTACAGGATGAAACCCGCTGAACTATTCAGCGGCTATTGCTTTTCAGAATCGGCACCAGTGGCATCATGGACAGTCACTATGTCATAGTCACCAGTGTGCTTGTATTGAGAATCTCTGAACGTGAAGTACCAATACTGGCACATTATCTGTGGTTACGGTAAGTGGAGGGGCAGTGAACAAGGTGTTGGAGTGGGAGAGAGAAAGCAAGTGGAGGAGAAATCGGTTCTGCAAGACTAGAGAAGAACCAAAACTGGCCCAGAATCCATGCAGAACACATGCACATGAAGGAAGTTACCATTGTCGCCTCTAATTACACCCAATTACACCACAAGATTAACAGTCACACCTGATAATTACAACCTTGCGGTCACACCCAACATCATACTACACACACAATCACGCTCGATAACACCACAACCTTTACAATCACACCTTGCACAATCACAGAACCACTTTACTCACAAGAAGCTCTATAGCTAGGCATGTACGTCACAAGTTAAAAGAAAAGAAAAGAAAAGAAAAGAAAAGAAACAAAAGAGTCGTCTCAAATCTCAAGGTTCTGAAACATCTGAAAGCACAATCGCAGAACCACTTCAATCACGACGAGCGCTATAGCCAGGCATGATGCGTGACACTATCACAGAATTTGGGTTGAATCAAACACCGTGGAAACATGTTCACTCACAAAAAGATCCATGGCCAGACATGATGCGCTGTCAACAATCCACGGCAGGTTCGGCCGAACCTGCTTCCACTCCAGCGACCGAATCAGGATACTCCCGAGGTACGCCAGATTCCCAGCCACCGCCAGCGCAAAAGCGGGCGGCGCCAGCCCCTCAACCGCCCCGCGCGCGCAGTTAAGAATGATCGGGGGTAATCGCCCTGTAAAATAGATGCAGGTCATGGCCCAGCCTAGAAACTGCCCGACTGCCCTCAATAGCAGCTCCTCATGCCGCTCTGGATCGTCTGGGTAGTCAGGATCGTCAGGATCGGAGAAAAAAATCCCTCGAGTAGAATCATGGCCTTGCGGGGAGATGGGAGTCAGTGCGATAGAATCTGGTACGGAAGGATTTTGGTGGTTCGGGAGAGGCTCGGATGTTGGTACGGGCGGAGGTTTGAGGTGGAGGTTTTGTGGTAGAAGGAGGTGAGTGCTGGTGGTTGGTGCAGGATCAGAAGACTCTTGAGTCGACTTAGAAGGCGTGACAGGTGGCATGTCATTTGCTGCGTCGAGTGTCTGGAGAGCCTGCGATTGACCATGCCGTGGTTGGAAAAAGAGCGTTTGGGACGTCCGATGCGAGTGAAGTACCGTGGTTTTTCCAGATGTCTCAAAAGTACCCAGGGTATACTGTGTTTGTATCTGGGAGATACAACATCCTTGTGGCACACCCACTGTGTATCTGGGAGGCACTGTGGATGTTGATTGAGAATGACTTTTGAGGCGCCTCAAAAGAACTGTGGCATAGCCCAGGGTACTGGGAGGTACAACATTCTTGTGGCACACCCACTGTGTATGTATCTAGGAGGCACTGTGGATGTTGATCGAGAATGGGGGAGATTGACAGACGATTTCTTTCAGGGTGAACATAAGGTTCTTCAATCGTCTATCGTCAATCGTCTATCGTCAATCGTCTATAGAAAGATGAAGGTTCTTCAACACAAAGATTCCATCTTTCAGTCACTTGTCCTTGGCCACAAAATCATACCGTACAGAATCCAAGTGGCATAAATAAGCAAGGAGAAGGCATGGTGATCATGGGCACGTAAGTGAGCGTACCTCTAGCAGCTTTCCCGGTGACTTTTGAGTCGACGCAGAAGTCATGTGGCACGTAAGTGAGCATACCTCTAGCAGCTTTCTTGACATTGGCCTGAGGAGGGATGATTGCGCTGCAATGGTGTTGTTCAAATCAGCAAAAACAACTGCAGGTGAGGAGTTTTGAGACGTCTCAAAAGTGAGCATACCTCTAGCAGCTTTCTTGAAATCGGCCTGAGGAGGGATGCTTGCGCTGCACTGGTGTTGTTCAAGTCAGCAAAAACAACCGCACGTGAGGAATGTGGGGAGGAGGACGAGGGAGAGGCGAAGGAAGTGGAGGGGAAAGAGGAGGAGGAGGAGGAGGCGGTGGTTCTTGGTGTGTTTGCCCAGGAGTGGAGGGAAGAGGGGAGGGTAGGGTGAAGGGAAGGAGAGGAGGAGAGGCCAAAGACAGCTGATACGGTGACAAGGGCTAGGACCTGGCGTGGTGCGGGGAGAAGGGGAAGCGGAGAGAGGAGCAGAAACACCACAAACAAAAAAGGGATGAGGAGAGAGGAAAACGGGACACTGAGCACAGTGATAGCTGAGATGGTGAGTGGCATGGTAAGGGGAGGCTAGTTTTGAGTCGACTCAAAAGTCACCTGAGTCGACTCAAAAGTCACCTGAGTCGACTCAAATGTCACCTGAGTCGACTCAAATGTCACCTGAGTCGACTCAAATGTCACCTGAGTCGACTCAAATGTCACCTTGGGACACTGAGCACAGTGATAGCTGAGATGGTGAGTGGTGTGGTAAGGGGAGGAGGGGACGAGGGGAAGAGGAGAAAGAGGGGAGAGAAGAAGAGGGTACAGGAACAACGTGAGTGGTGAGTACAGGAACAACGTGAGGGTACAGAGGAGGAGAAGAGGGGAGAGAAGAAGAGGGTACAGGAACAAACAACGTGAGATGGCGACAAAGGAAGAGGCACCGGGGGGGTTGCGGGGAAAGCAAATAGCGAGCACAATCACTCACTGCAGAGGGTCAAGCAAGCACACTGACTCACCGCATTGAGGGAGTTTTTTTTGAGACGCCTCAAAAGGGGGTTGCGGGGAAAGCAAGTAGCGAGCACAATCACTCACTGCAGAGGGGCAAGCAAGCACACTGACTCACCGCATTGAGGGAGGGGGAAGAGGGGTTGCGGGGAAAGCTGGCTCCAAAGGAGCTGGAGAGAGTGAGACGACGCCAGCTGCCTGAGAAAGACCCTGATGACCTGCGGGGGTTGGGTTGGGGGGAAGGAAGGTGGATAAGGAGTCGAGAAGAGAGGGAGCATGTTCCAATACAGGAAGTGAAGAAAGAGAGAGTGAGACGGGCGCCAGCTGCCTGAAAAAGAACCCGATGAAGGGAAGGAGGGAAGGTGGAAAAGGGAATGGAGTGAGCAGTGGTGAGGAGATACCACCACTAGACAATACACCACACCCCCACCACTCCCACCACCCACCCCCACCACCCCCACCACCCCACCATCACCACAGCCCCACCACAAACCCCATCCATTCCATCCTTACTGCCCAAAGGACTGTCGCTGCGGCATTCCCACTGGAATCGACCTGCTCTTCCCACCACCACTGCCGCCACCACCACCACTGCCGCCACCACCACCACTGCCGCCACCACCACCGCTGCCACCACCGCTGCCACTGCCGCTGCCACTCCCACTGTTCCGCCTCCCTGATGCCCGTCCACCAATCCCCTGGTGCCACGTGTCCCTCTGCTGCTGCCCTCTATTCCCCCCTGCAACTGCGGAGGCTTCAAGGAGGGGGAGCAGTGTGCGGGGGAGTGAAGCCGAATCCTGGATGATTGGGGGAAGGGGAAAAGGGGAAGGGGGGAACAGGGGAACGGGGGAAGGGGGAAGGGGGGAAAGGGGGAAGGGGGAAAGTGGGGAAGGGGGGCATAGATGGGAAAAAGAAGGGCACTGGTGTTATCGGGAAGTGTACAGGTAAGCTGAGGAGGGAACTTCTGAGCCATCGCAATTCCTTAGGAAGGAGAAAGGTTTGGAGAAGCGAAACCCGAGCTGATACCTCGTTAGAATCACAGATCTTGTTAGAATCACAGATCTTGTTAGAATCACAGATCTCGTTAGAATCACAGATCTCGTTAGAATCACAGATCTCGTTAGAATCACAGATCTCGTTAGAATCACAGATCTTGTTAGAATCACAGATCTCGTTAGAATCACAGATCTCGTTAGAATCACAGATCTTGTTAGAATCACAGATCTCGTTAGAATCACAGATCTCACTAGTATCACAGATCTCAGTAGTATCACATACCCCGTTAGCATCCCATCGCTAGCACCTCAAACCTTGTTAGAATAGAATCCCGTACCTCGTCAATCATGGCGCGACACAGCCTATTGACTGCACTGTAATCATCCCCATCAGCCATCATCTCCATAATCACCATCACTACCATCATCAGCATCAACAGCACCATCAACACCAGCACCAGCACCATCAACACCAGCACCAGAACAATCGAATACCTCATCAATCATGGCGTGATACAGCCCGTTGGGTGCACCGTAATCATCCTCAATATAATCACCATCGTCACTATCATCATCACCACCATCATCAGCACCAACAGCGGCACCACCACCAGCAGCAGCGGCAGACGCAGAGGTAGTTCCGACAGGGAGGGGACCTTCTAGCAAGGGAGCGTTTCTGCTGGGGGTCGCAAGTCTCCTGCCTCTCCTCCCCCCCCGCCGCTGCTGCCTCATCCTGCTGCACGCTGAGAGCACGTGCTGCAGTACTAGCACGCACGTGGTGCTTGTGTAGAGCTGTGATGTGACAGTATGGGGGGGATTGAGAGAAGTGGGAAGGACGAGGAGCCGCGGGATGAGGGGCAGGAGAGGAGGAAAGACGGTTTTCCCTTTCTGCTGCACGCTGCAGAGAGCATGTGTTTTGAGTCAACTCAAAACACGACAGGAGAGGAGGAAAGACGGTTTTCCCTTTCTGCTGCACGCTGCAGAGAGCACATGTTTTGAGTCGACTCAAAACACGACAGGAGAGGAGGAAAGACGGGTTTTACCTTTCTGCTGCACGCTGCAGAGAGCACGTGCTGCAGCACCAGCAAAAACGGGAAGAGGTAATGATGAATCAAATCAAGGACAAAGCTCATCCATCTTATCAAGGAGGACACAGAGGACACAAATGATGGCTTTTGGGACGTCTCAAAAGCAGAGCACAAACGGGAGGATGAAATGGGTAGGTACTGGGTCGTTCCAGAATACGACGGATAGAGGTGAAGTGGGGTGACTTTTGAGTCGACTCAAATGTCACCTGAGTCGACTCAAAAGTCAGGACGAAATGGGTAGGTACTGGGTCGTTCCAGAAAACAAAAGATAGATGTGAAGCGGGAGAGAGGGAAGAGAGCGGAGGGACTTCGGATGTGAAGGGAAAGGAAGGAAGGGAAGGACGTACGATTGCTGTGAAGAGCTGGGTCGGAAGCTGCAGGGATGAGATGCATGCATTTGGTGCCGGCAGACAGAGGAGAAGAGGGAATGGGAGAAGGGAGTGGGGAGAGGTGGGGGAAGGGAAGCACAGGGAGATGGAATGATAGGTGAGCGGTAGGAAAGAGGGAGCACAGGGGAAGGAAAGAGGGAGTGACATAGGGAAAGAAGACAAGGGGGAGGGGAGAAGACGGGATGAGGAGGAGAAGTAACGAGAGAAGCGACAAAGCAACTGAATGGGAATCGGGCGAACGGGCAGTTTACGAAGGAAACGAGGGGCTGGCACACTAGTGGGAATGCAGCGTGAAAGGGTTGAATCAAAAGAAAAAAAGAGATGTGGCTCTGTAGCAGTGTACCGTGACAGGATCAAGGAGGCAGCCGAGGAGATTAAATACATCTCTGGAGGGCGGGAAAACGGGTGGTGGAAAGCAGAAGTAACCGGTTTTAGACCGGACGGACGGTGAACACATGGGCAATGCCAGACTCTTAGATAAAAGACAATGTCACCTCGACTTTTGGGGCGGCTCAATGCCAGACGTTTAGCTAAAGTGCAATGTCGCCTCGAATGAAACATGCGCATATTAGTAAACGAAGGTGGACCTGTTTATCACCCTGTGATCCACGTCAGCACCGCCATTCACCCCACAATCCACGTCAGCAGCATGCACCCACCCCACGATCCACGTCAGCACCGTCCACTCACCCCACGATCCACGTCAGCACCAGCGCAAGAGGCACCTCCTCAAGCTCCACGCCGCTGCGCGACGCCTGACAGTTGGCGATCACCTGCGGGACCTCCGCCACCGCCCAGCACGCGATACTAAAAAGACCTAAGTAGAGCGACGCGGCGTCGCGCGCGGAGCACACGCAGTCCCCGAAAACTAGGTACTTCCACCGGGAACAGCTCGACGGCGGGGATCCCGGGGCGGGAATCACGGCCGCGGGACAGGATGGGTCGAAAATGGTCATGGCGGGAAAATGGAGGTACGGATTTTGCCAGGAGGGGATTAATGGTTACGGCGAAATGTGGTACGTTTAGAGTGCGGATTCGAAGAATGACGCGGCGAATGCGAGTTGAAAACCGATGAGAGGGGGTCTGGCAGTCCCTTTTGCCGAATGCAGCCCCGATGGATAAGAGGCTTCCAGATCGCGGTATGTCAAAATGTGTAGAGAATTGAGATAAGGATAAAAGAGTATGATTGCACAATAGAATAAGACAAGAGTAAACAGTGGAATTGTAGTAAATGAGGATGAGCTTGATAGAAGAGAAGATGATACTTAGAACTTGGGACTATAAAGAGAAACTTGTGTAAGGTGGAATGCTTGATGAGATAAAAACACAAAAATGGAGAAAGAGAGTATGAGCTTGTTGAGAGAATAAGAGAGGGGATAGGCACTTACTTAAATGAATCTTACTAGGGATAGTTGTAGAGGTGACTTGTAGGAATGGCTTGGTCTTGAGAGCTTTACTTGAAGAAGAACATCAAGCTTGGTGTTGGGTGATGATCCTTCCTCAAGCTTGTAGGAAGTAATGAACCTTATACTCAAGTAGAGTATGAGGTGATTACTCTTCACTTGATGCTTAACTTTGTAGACTAATGAGAGACACTTTGTGAGCATAAACTTATATTGAAAGAGGTATAGTACAAGCCTTATAGATCCATGAGGGATACATAGGCATGCATAGAGAGAGTAACCATCAATGATAGCCTTGGAAGAGAGTTGCATGAGAGTATCAACTTTTGGAGACATAGAACTTGGTTGCTAGTGAGGAGCCTTTGTAGTAGAAGAGGAGCTTGAAGGAGAAGCTTGGAAATGAGCTTGGTGAAGAAGCTTGGAATGCATTGTTGTCATTGAAGAACCTTCTTGAGAAGTTGTAGAGATGCTTGATGTAGATGAATAGTATTGGAGCATGTGATGGTGGTTGAGCACTTGATGAGTTGGAGATGTAAGCCTTGTTGAGTTGGAAGAGAGCTTAGTGAGTTGGATAAGGATGAGTGGAGGAGATGATGAGTTTTGTTGCCTTGTAATAGGAGGTGATGGGATAATCATGAAGTCCTTAGGGATGAGGTGGCAACTTTGGTGACTTGGGAAAGGAATGATGGAAGGAATAAATGAGAGGCATGTGGAGGTTGATGACTAGGAAGTGGAAGCATGTGCTTGAAGGCACATGAGAGGAGGATAATTGGAGGAGGTAGATGACTTGGGTAAACTTTGATGAGTAGGAAAGGAAAGCACATGGAAAATCATGAGGAGTCATGTGCCTTATGGTGGGACTTGAGGATAAGTATGGGAAGTTGGTTTGAATATTGGTTGAGTTGGACTAGGAAAGTCTATGGTGGTTGGGAGTAGTTAAAGAGGTGGTTGATAGGCTTGAGTTGGAGAGGATGAGTTGAAAAAAAAAGGAGTTTGTAACTTGAGTGGTTGGAATAGGCTTTGGAAGAGTTGAGTGGTTTGGATGGGCTCTTAGGAAAATGTGTCGAGGGTGTTTTGAGGGGAAGGGGTTGGAGTGGCACAGTAGCGTGGCACGTGAAGAGCGTGCCATTCACAACACTCCCCCTCACTGCAAGCCCGTACCCTCAAATCCGACTGCTGGGACTAACCCGGCTTGAACTCGGTTGTTGATGAAGATGTCGCGTGCAACGACCTTGGTGAGGAAATCCGCCGCTTGCTCACTCGTGCGGCAAAACAGGGGCTCAATGATTTTCTGCTCCACAAGCTCCCGGACGTAGTGGTACTGCGTCGCAATGTGCTTGGTCCTCCCATGGAAGACTGGGTTCTTGGTGAGAGCGATCGTCGACGTGTTGTCGATGAAGATGGGAGTAGGGCTCTCTTGTGGGAGGTCAAGCTCCTTCAATAGGCCTCTCATCCACACTGCTTCTCGGGCTCCTTGGGTCGCAGCCATGTACTCTGCCTCCGTGGTTGATAAAGCCACACAACTCTGCTTCTTTGACTGCCAAGAGATGGCTGCCCCTCCAAGCATGAAGATGTATCCTCCAGTGGACCTGCGAGTAGGGATATCCCCAGCCCAATTTGCATCCGTGAAGCCATACAGCATGCTTGCACCCTCAAACCCTTGAAAGAGGAGACCAAAGGAAGAGGATGATTTGAGGTAGCGCAGGGCACGAAGTGCCCCACGCTGATGCATGCGAGTAGGTGATGTCATGCATTGAGAGAGCATGGCAACGGTATGGGCAAGATCAGGACGGGTGCAGATGGAGGCGTACATAAGGCTGCCCACTTGGCTCTGGTAGAGTGAGAGCTCAAGGGGTGTGATGTGGGACGTGGACTGTGGTGCATAGGTGTCATGACCAATGTCCTCAGGAGGCTCAAGGCTCTCGACCTCACCCTCAAGATCAGTGACCTCTGATTCAACAGTGGAAGGGTCAATGCTTTGCTCGTGTGAGCTTGGCATGAAGTCCGAGGGGAGTGGGGTCTCAACTGGGTTGCAGTTAAGGAGACCAAACCTTGAAAGGACCTTCTCAGTGTACCTCTGCTGTGAGATGAAAAGTGACTTGGTGGTGCGGTCCCTCACGATGTTCATACCAAGGTAGTGTGAGGGCTCACTCATGTCTGTCATGATGAAGTCTTGGGTGAGCATACCTTTGATGCGTGTCAGGAGACTCAAGGATGCTGACACGAGGAGGATGTCGTCCACATAGACTAGGAGCCACAAGGACTCCCCCTCACTTGTGCGTAGGATGTACAGTGCTGCATCGAACTGTGACTTGGTGAAACCTTGGGTGAGGAGTGATACCTCAAGGGTGTGAAACCAGGCTCGTGGTGCTTGCTTTAGTCCATAGAGGGACTTCAGCAGCCTGCAGACGTTGGTGGTACCATCGGAGTAACCTTCGGGCTGTACCATGTAGATCTCTTCGTCGAGCTTACCATAGAGAAAGGCATTCTTCACATCCATTTGATGGATGTGGAGATCCTTCACTGTGGCCATTACCAGGAGGCACCTGACTGTGGTGTACTTGGCTACGGCAGAGAAGGTCTCTGTGTAGTCCGTGCCTGGCATCTGTGAGAAACCTTTGGCTACCAGGCGTGCCTTGAATCGGTCCAGTGTACCGTCTCCCTTCACTTTCACTCGGTATGTCCACTTAACCTTTAGTGCTCTCTTACCAGGAGGGAGTGGTGCAAGGACCCATGTACCTTGTGCAAGGAGGCTGTTAATCTCTTCTCTCTCTGCCTTTACCCACTCTGCCCTCTCAGCGCTTGCCAGTGCTTGTTTGCGAGTGGATGGCTCAGGTGGGAGGCAACTGATGGCGTGACACATGGCGACTACCTTGCAGTCCATGCAGTGAGGATCGGCACACTTGGTTGTGACTGGGAAGCATGCACCGACTGCGAGGTTCAAGCGCTGCACTGGCTTGCGTGCTCGTTTGGGACGCTGTGAATGCTCGGTGATACCTTCGTGACTCGTGTTACCGTTAGGGATGGTTGGAGGTGCTGAAAGAGTGATTGTCTCATGAACATCATTTGGTGGTTGAACGGGTTGAAGCGGCTTGTCTGCTGCGTCAGGGATAATGGTTGAAGTGTTGACTGGAGGTGAAGAAGTAGATGATACGGTTGAAGACAGCTTCTCTGCGACTGGCTGCTGCTCAGGTGTTGACTTTCGCGTTAAGGGCTGCTCCATCGAGGGTTGGAGAGAAGACGGCTCGTCGGTGAAGAGAGGCGGTGACGTGTGGTTTGGCTCATGTTGACTCTGCTGCTGCTCATGAGAAGGTGTGTTGTTTTCAGGTATAGGTGGAGATGGTGTGGTATCTCCAGCAGGTGCACTTGGAGAGGGCTCCACTGCGGGTGTTGTGGTGAGTCCTGGTGGAGTGGGGAGAGGGTCTTCGAGAGAGGGAGAAGGAGGTAGATAGTTTAACTTCCATCGAGCGAGGGACATGTCTTCATGGAAGATCACGTCCCTGCTCACAATCTCCTTGGTAAGGAGAGGGTCCCAAAGAATCCAGCCCTTGCTCTCCTTGCTCAAGCCAATGTGCACGGCCCAACGTGTCTTGCTCTCAAACTTTCCTCTCTTTTCATCGGGAATGCGGTATTGTGCCATGCACCCAAACACACGCAACATGGAAACATCGGGCTTCTTCCCATGCCATGCTTCAAATGGGGTGATACCTGAAGGAAGAGCGATGGTTGGGCGACGATTCTTGAGGTGGGCGGCATGGTTCACGGCTTCTCCCCACCATGCATCGTCCAGCTTCATGTGCAAGAGAAGAGATCTTGCAATTTCCTGCAAGGTGCGGTTGAACCTTTCGGCAATGCCGTTCTGCTGAGGGGTGTAGGGGCATGAAAGCTCTTGTGCAATGCCAATGGATGAGAGGTGATTGCGAAATGACTTACTCATGTATTCTCCCCCTCTGTCCGAGTGCAGAGTCTTGACTTGAAGGCCGGTTGTGTTCTTGATGTGTTCGTGCCACACTTTGAATGCTTCGGGAACAAGGTCTTTGGACTCAAGAAGGAAGACCCATGCAAAACGTGTCTTATGATCGATGAGGGTCATGATGAATCGCTTGCCCGTGCGACTGAGCGTGCGAGCAGGACCAATGATGTCACTATGAACAAGGTCAAGAGGACTTGAGACTTGAACATTGACAGGGGGATGAGGATGGTGTGTGTGCTTGGCTTCAACGCATGAAGGGCATGGAGAAAGTGAGGAGGGAGACTCGGAGCTTGGTGTGATGCGAAGACCTTCAAGACTTGCATGTGCGGTGATGGACTTGGAGGTTGATGCTCCAGGATGACCCAAGCGACAATGCCAAATGTAGGGTGTGGTAGCCGTACCTGGGTGAGGCTTTATAGTAGTTGATGCGGCAGCGGTGTAGCCATGGAGTCGACGATACTCTGGGTTCACGTCGAGCTTGAGGCGGTAGAGGCGACCAACTCGCTCGCCACGTGCAATGAGGAGTCCCTGGTAGCGTATCTGCACGGTACCACTTTCGAAGGAAAAGATGCAGTCTTTC